TTCCGAGAGTCGGACCTTTTTGTGACAAACTGAGGATTCGGGTGAATGAGATCTCTTATTTGAATCCATATCAAGATTATTTTGTTTACGGAGAAGGCAGTAAAACAAAGCCCCTGCTTTTCTTCCAACTTCTTATACTTCGCGTCTGACTACTCGGCCCCCCTTCTCTCTTCTCTGTAATAGCACTCGATATACTATGCAGCAATTTTAGATACCATCATATTCAAGTGCGATTTCCATTAACAGTTCCGAGCCGAGAAGCCATATTTGAATTCGGTGGATCAGAGTGTGTCCGCCCGACTAGTATTATACACGTATATTTTGACCTCTTACGTGGCTCGTGAAATACGGTGGACGCAGGTTTCCAGAGACCTTTATATGGCACATTGTGCCGGAAAATACTTATATCTGTTCGGTTCTAATTGCGCTGATGACAGGCTCCAAATTGGCCTTGCTATGTTTTCGCATATCTAGAATCACTTCGACTGATAACCACGTGAAAGTAGCTTCAAATGCAAAACCCTTTTTCCTAAGCATTCTTCACACCTATCCCCCAGAGGAAATCATGACCACCCTGTTCATAGTTCCCCATTCCCATGAGTGAGGATTAGACTATCCGCTATAACTTGCCCACGAGAGGTAATTTGCGGTCGACGCGGCCTTGCTTCCCAAAATTGACTCCCGGCTATTCATTGGTACCTCCATCGTGGATTGGGAGGCTGCGCTAAACGGCGTCGTATCCAGGCCCCATTCGTCTGGCTTTTTGTGGGTATCCAGTCCCCCAGTATGTCTCGAAGTATGTCTCGCAGGGCCGGCAAAGATCTTTCTGGAGTATTTGTTGGCCTATACGGCATAAGTTTTGACTCGGCATTTGGAACCTGCGTAGACCGGCCCTGAACTACAGGTCGGATTTCTTCGGCGGTCCTACCGTTAGGTCAGACTCTGCAGAAAATAAATCGAGTTCATACATGCATACCCCGTTACCGTGATCCTTCTGGATGTTGGCATAGCCGGCGGAAATCTCTGAGTCATTTTGATCGAAGGATGTGGGTTGCAGATGAAAAAAGAGTGGTTCAAATTCCTTCATGGGAAGTTGATAAGTCTTTAGACAGAATCTACGGTTCCTGCTCGGTTTAAATACAGCCAGGGACTGCTTTTCAGCGGACTATTGCATCATCGTCGCTGAAGAAGTGAACTAACAGGTCCCTGTGACGGAGACTAGGGTCTCCATCCCTCCGACGTTTGATTGCCAAAATATTTCATCATTTTTAATTCGTCTTTGACAGATGTGCACCAGCCGGGAACAAATAGTACGAAACTACAGCACCTAGCATTTGCGTAAATAGCGCATTCGCTTTAGACGGAAATATGCTGTGCTTTATCCTAACACCGTTGAAGAGAAAGGCTGCTGCATACAAGTCACAAGCAAGGATGGCAGGCACGGTGTGAGTGCTCTCAGTATTTGGGGGGGAATTTGCTTAGCCAACAGTGATTCAAATATAAACCAGAATAGCTCAGTAAAAAAAGTATCTGTAACGGCTACTCTATGTCAATTATACACGATTTACGCTTTCTGGTGCTGCTGATCAGCGAAACCCATCGTTATTCAGACGATGCTATTCAATCGGATCCTGGCCGCGTGTGAACAAGCTTATCCCCGCAACGTAATCCTCTATTCTCAATTACAGTTTATGACTTTAGTGACATTGAAAATAGATGATATCCAAGGAGAGAGGAAAGGGAAGGCTGAGCCTGCTTTCCACTAAAATAGGAAGTTGTGGAACAATAAGGCTCATCTTGTAAAAATACTTGATTGGACTCGCCCTTCGATCGGAGTTGTTTGACTGAGAGTGAAAGAATCGAAATGAACTTCTTTTTTTCGCCTAGATTGAATAAGCAGGGTGCCTGGCTGCCTTCACTATGCAGTGGGCGTCAAAAAGGAACAGGTCCAGATTTAGCTTCGAATGGGTCCTAAAATTTCCCGCTTTCTTCCAAATTGCCATTCGAGAGCCACCCCATAAAATGGCAATTATCCTCAGAAGACAGCAAAGAAGACAACCAGAGGCTTTACAGCAATCGTTTCGCAATGGCAATTACCCGCAGTAGCAACGGCTCAGGCGTAGAGTCAAATATTGCACCATCGGTGCCATCTCAAATCCCCCAGTCAGATTTACGAAGAAAGAAAGGGCATGGACAGTGCTTTACCGACGATCTTGACAAAGCTATTGTGAATCTTCAGGCCGTTGCTAGAAATATTCAGGCGCTTTTGACGATTTTGAAGGACAAAAGATCCCGAGAATTAGCGTCTATGAAAGACAACTCCGCTAGTGAAGGAAAATGGGAACTGCCTCTTCAGAACACCTTCGGATCAAAGATACCCACGGGGGATGGGCAGCTTCAGAAGCGTGATAAATTCTATTTCTCTGAGCCACTCTCATGGGCAACCCGTATTGGATCCGTCTGCATACTGGTACTTGCTATATTATCAGTAGACTGGAGCTCCTTTTGGAAGATACCTCCATCAGCGGCTGCCATAGACATGGGCGAATTCTCAAACCTCATGCGTACCTGGGCTGGAGCGGCCATTAAAGGGCTTTCACAGGAGTTTTCGGCTGGTCAAGAGGCCTAGGTGATCCACTAAACCTTTTGACAATGAGTCTTTGTCCAAAAAGTCGAAGTCTACCAAGCCATTTCTCCTTGATCAGTATTCTTTAGCTTGTTTGGAGAGACCAAACGTGATAGATCAATAAATGCTGTACATGATCAAATTTTCCAATCCTTTTTAGACAATGAAGGCTCGACTCCATGGGGTGTTCAACGGGCAAAGCTTCAGCAAAATGATTTATTCTTTTCAGAACACCCTGGAAAAACTGGATAACGATACAGGGTGGCCTTTGACGGCAAATTTTGGTTTCACGATCAATTAGTGCTGAGACAAAAGACTAGAATCCTCATATATCACTTCATTGGTCAAATATATTTTGAATGTTGGATGGGAGAACAATTGAACTGTTGGTTTAGTCAAAATTATCAGGGACAATACCTCATTCTGGTAAGAATATCCATGGAACTCAACAATAAGAACGTCGCTCTGAGGTACGCAACGTGGTGACCACATCTATTTACAGAATGTATAAATCCTACAGGTAATCTGGCTGTTTAGTGAAAGGCCATCTCAGTCACCAGTATGTCTTAGGTTCTCCATGGGCACTATTGTTCTGGAATCCTCTGGACAGTATAACTATACTTCCAGTAACGACGAGTAAAGGGAAACTAGCTATAGTGAAAACAACGGCGCTTTTCACTCTTAATTCCCGGAAGAACCCAAGGTTGAATCATTTGGCAATAATGTCAAGTTGATGATGAGATTTCAGTTACATGGATGAATCTGCAGCAGATATAAATCGGCCTGACGCGCTCTAAGTTTACATCCTTCCTATCTCTTCCCATGGGCACGCGGGTCGCATGAAGTCACAATGGACCATTCCCAACACCCATCATCAACGATCAGACTCATTGTGAGTACAGAGTCTCCTGTTGTATCACGATCATATTTGGCCAGTATTCAGCACTGACCAAGATTATGGTCATTTCAGCCCGACCCTGCAGGGTCGCAGTGGCTTGGACTCAGTACCACATGATGTGCCGTCAACTCGCGGGTTTCAGACGAAGATCTCAAATACACATCCGTCGCGAATTCCACAAAGACTAAAAGGTACAACGCAAATATTTCAAGAGCGATGGTTGATGAAGGATTTGACAATTTCTTTTCAGGGACTTTCTGGGATTACTGAAGCAACGGAGTATTCTGGAGCATCTCGGTATAGTGAGAGCCCAGCATAGAGAGAACAAGAAATCTTCAATTGAACTTAGCCGTGCCATCAGGCAAGGCAAAATTACTCAATGCAAATAACGGGCTACACTGGGTTGGACTGATGGAGAGGAGTGTTAATATTGCATACTGGGCTTGGTCACAAATCAGAAGTCAAATTGTCAGACACTTGTGGTGCCTGTTACGAGCTAGGACTACTGAGCGCGATATGGTTAAAAAAGAGGGAGAGAGAATCTTCACAATCGACGGAAAAGTCTCTTTCCAGCTTGCTTTCTTCGCGCACACCATTATTGTTTATCCAAAGAGCTCCCTTCGAAAAGAAACTGTAGCCGCACCAAAGATTGCTAAAGGATTTTTCCAGCCCGGCGTTTCAGTCTCGAAGCTGTTCTGCAGAGATACCATCCTCGGCCTCGAGTTTCTCGCGGTAATCTCTGGCATTCGCCGTAGCATCGCTGAGGCAATTTAAGATGGCGTTGGGGTAGACTGTTGCTGTTGCTTTCACAACCGAGGCTTCGATTGTTGGAGAGAGTGGGGGCTACCGATTTGGTCGGATCGAAACTGGCGAGGTCAGAGTAGAGGCCGCAAAGGTGCTGCTAGCATCGAGAATGAGCCCAAAACTTGAATTTGGCCCTGAGATGAGCTCCCAGTCGTACTACCGACTGTGAATTCATCACAGTACATCGGTTCAGCCCAGTTAACTATTCCCTCAGATGATTAGCAATATCTGATACGCGGCAATGTGTTGAGCCTCCTTCGACCAGATTCTTCGACGAGGCAATCGACCCAGAGTTATTACAGCGAGCGGCCCGGTGTTACGCGGTCCGTCCACTCCCACCATTTGCGGCCAGATACTGCTTCAGACCATTCTTTTCATCTCTAGATTTTCGCCTCAGGACAAGCAGACACATTCTGGTTATTTTTTGTCTATGTTCCCGCATGATTCTGCACGAGAGCAGGGTAAGCTACACAATTATCGGTAGTACGAATACAGTCACATCCATTGCTTTCCTAGAAACCACGGCGATAATAAAGCCGGCGTCAACACCTGGACTTGGCTACGGAATAGATGCTCGACGAAAGATATGCAAGTTTCGCCTCTGAGTCTTTCTCCGCGTCAGATTGTACGCAGCTTGTACTCATGATGGATTTATTCAAAGGGAACATTTTCGCCCCGAATTTCGCATTATATTCTGTAACTCATGGTAGATATCATTGCGCCACTTATATGTCCTCAAATGATGGGACCTACTAGGCCATTGAGGGCCATCCGTATGTAGTTTTCCCATTGCCCCTAAAGACCGCAATGTACGTCTTGTTGCTTCGACTTGTAAGCCCCTTTACGGTTGTCTTTGTTCTAGCGCGCTGCCCATATTTACTGCTTTCGAACTTCCGAACAAGATGATGAAGCAAACGGCGCGTACGGCCTGAGTTGTGATCAGTATTTCCTCTCTCAAGGAGAAAACGGGATCTCAAACTATGGGGCAACGATCATGGTGCAAGCATTAGTGAACCACAGGTTACAGAGAACTCGATGTTTCAGGTTGGAGTATGTTATGTACTACGCAAAAGCGTGAGCGCATCGTTTTGAAAAGAGTGGCGTCCGGCCTGGCCCCTAAATGGGTCGGAGATAATGTATTTGGTTGTAAGTCAATCAGGATTGACCATGTAGAACCGATTGGAAACGATCTCTACAAGGGGCATAACAAAACGAGTTCAGTTACTCTTGTAGCTACTGTATTGGAAATGGAGTCATCAATTTCGAATATTGTCAAAAAATTTATCTCATAATAGATGGCTCTGTCTCCGCCGTTTCAACTCTTGGTTATTGAATGAGTGGAAATCTAAATTCCTCATTTCTCAAGCATTCCATGATTTCCAATTCCGTACGGCCGCCCTTCTGAGTGACTTCGCTCACATGGTAGAATATGCGCAGCCCGTTCCCATTGCATTTAAATTTGCCTTGACCAATAAAAGTCCGGTTTTTAAGTCCAGCAAATTCTTCGCTTTTACCCTACTCAAGGTTAGTGCTGTACTCTTTAGTAAACACTGCCCCCTTCAGAGACTTACATCGAGGCGAAAACACGCAACTAGACAGGTATTCTCTCATTAGATTCTTGGGGTATTTTTAATACAATTGGAGCAAACTTACTTGGATTTCCCAATTGCGTTTCACCCGTGAAGTTTCCATAAAGAATGCTGTCCTCATCCTTCCCGAGCTTCACATCGCCATACCACGTGAGTTGCACCTAGGGAATATCTTAGCAGTAGGACCACTTTCGTGTCTTGAACCCTTTTGCGCCGTACCTTAGACCTAAATCCTGTCTCATGACCAGACGCCATCTCATGATCAATGCTAGATTTGAAACATCAGTATTGCTTGGACAAATTGAAACCAGCAACCGTCCCATCTCTGACTTACAGTGCTTCAGCAGTGACCTTTAAGTGCAAGATCTTCTCCTTGTAACTCAACGTAGCCTCGTCAATCCCTGTGATTGAGGTCGATTTAATGCGCGGCGTGAACGTCTCTTCCGGGGTGATGCTTCCCCCGACGATTGTCTTACCGATCGGTCGTTAGACGTGGCATTGTATTGTAATTGTTAGGATTGACAAGCACTCACAAAATTCAGATTTTTCGTTTGCTGATCTAGGTCTGTTTCTCCCTCAGAGTACTTGTCCACCTGCACCTGCACCATCATTAACGAATCAGCAGCCGCTCCTTTAATGGCATCATATTTGCACGAACTTCAATGTCAAAAGCATGCTTTAAAGCCAAGTTATCGCTCATGTTGTAGGATGATCAGAGTAATATGAATGTCCAGTGTCCGTGGAAATGGGCTACTGAGCGTGCTTTTATACTTCCTTGTTGCCAAACAATTACGCAACATGTTCAAATAGGATGTTTGCCAATGTACCCACAAGTGTTCTATCTCCATATCAGACAATGTGTCCCATCATCCGGAATCACGCCACATGCGCCCTAGACACATCATTTTCAAGCATTATCGGCCCATGGTCACCATACAGTATACGGTGCTAGGGTGTACTAGCGTACAATTCATAGCGTTGGAATTAGATCGGTCAGTGAGCTGCTCTGAGATACAAGTTTCTACTATCGAACCGACTTGGACAAAACAGAGCCTCAATTTGAATACGTGTTCCAGAAAAAGCCTTTACAGCCAGGATCATCAGCAGTCAAGACGTCGTAAGGTGGCGACGAATGGATCATCAAGCGCAATATAATACTCTAACACCAGCGTTGCGGTCCTAATGACAACTAAGTTTCACACATTGTGCCGCAATTGCATGGGTTCAGGCTCGATTAAACGGCGAGACTTTAGTGATAGTCATGCTGTGCTAATGCCGTATGCAATGCAGTCGTCAATGTGTAACAAATGCTTGCATATTTGACGTGTTTCTAATCGCGAGAACCTTTTCAGGCAGTTTCGGTTGTATATGTGGTTCAGAACTAGATGGTTGATTTAGATTACTAGTCATATGGTCATCCATACATCTTGCAAGTCCGACAGATCACTTGACACCTCTTCACCTTCCATATCACATGCTTAATTGTATATCAATCTCTGTGGGCACGCGAGGCTTGGAAAATGTTTCACACTGAATTTATTGACCCTACCAGTGAAGCTCTCAAAGAGTGGTGTCATTTTGAATAAGACACCTCAACGGTCTATAGGGTATGACGGGAACAATGGGTAGAGGCTCAGCAAACAATAGAGAGTAATTTATTGCGTAAAGCCAATACAAAAAGGCAATCTTTGATGGCAAAGAGCGCACTTCAAAAAGGCGATTCCCGCATGGCGCTAAAATTCGAGCCATGAACCTGTCCCAGAAATCTCAAAATCCCCATCAACAGCGATCGGAGGATCTCCCCATATAACGACTTTGTTGGGGAGGGTGATGGAAACGGCTTTGGCGTCAATCTTTCCCAAAATTTCCCCTCTGCCCTTCAGATGCTTGTCATCATTGTAGGAAAGCTCAACTTCCTGGTCGAAGTCAGGTAATTCCTCTGATATGCTACCCTTAAAAGAGTAACAGTAGCCCTCGATGGAAAATGTTGCACTAATTTTGCCTTTGCGGTGCATGAGGCCTTTGCGGTGCATGAGGGACCCCTGGATGGAGTTCATGCCTATAGAGACTTAGTCAGCGGGGACACAAGGAGAAAGGACAAGACTTCAGTATCTGACTTATACGCGGAGTACGATCTTCCAATTGGCAGGACTGTCTGAACGAATGAATTGAGCTGCATGAAACCAGATTGGTGGTGGAAGCTGCGGTATATAAAGCTACCACAAGCGAGAGTGGGGGCCATAATAGAACGAAGTGCATTCACTAGTCTCCCACCTCATTGAGTGACGCGTAATTAGGGACGACATAATAAGATCACAAATCGAGCAGCCACTCTTGAATGATCATGACGTTGGTAATCAATTGGACATAAATCAAATTGAATAGCATCATGATGGTTCGGTTATTCGTCGTCTCCAGATCCAAGAACTGGAAGTCGATAGCAGTCATCCTTCAACAAATGTTCGCCCTCGTCTTTCTGATTGGGAATGACGCCACCCGTTTCGGCTTATATGGTGGTCACCTTGTATTTTCCTTTCATAAGAGGTTGGGCCACCGAGATTGATTGACGATGGCAATGCATGATAGTCTGACCTTTCTATGCTGCCCACCAAAGCCGCCCTGTCTTCTGAATCGGTACTTTGTGCAGGAAATAGAATGGAACGGCCGACTGCCCTTGAACAGCTTCCAAGCCACGAGAGTGGGTCACCTGCAACCACATCATGTTACGAATGCCTGCGGTACACAGCCCTTGCTTTCAACCATGCCCCGAGACCCCGTGTCTCTCACAAAACAATTGGTTCCCTTCGAATCACCCTCCCTATTTCGTATTCCAACCTCTTCTCTCCCTATATCCCGGACACTATATCCGTCATGAACTTTATTCCTGTTCTTTTAGCAAAGTTTGTTATGGCAATCTATTCTTCGGATTTTTTCTAAGGCATGGCTCGGTGGAGCTGGGGATAACCTCAAGTGCCTCGCACTTACTGCAATGTATACTTACGGTTACCACTTTCATCATCTTCGGGTCCAGTATTCAACGTGCCTGGTTCTTGAACATCTTCAAGAGAATAATGTATCGCTCTCAACCTTCCTCCACATCTTCGCCAACGCGACAAGTCCGCAGCGCATGACGCCATCGCTTGCTATTGTCCGGATCTTTGGATCCGAATCGTAAATCCTCCTATCGCAGATTAAGCGTTGGCCAGGACTAAGAGGAAAGTGGGAGTTACCAGCTGGCGGGGTATACTGGTCAATGCATTGCAGCGCGAAGTACGAGAGGAAACTGGTCTCGAGGTCGAGAGTTTCGACTCTTATGTCGGCCGGTACATGTTTCCCGGTGCATAGATGCTTTGGATGAACCACGACCTGAAAATGATATTCATCTGCAGCCTGGTTGTTGGCAACGACGGCTTGAAGGATATTAAACTGAGCCCTATGGAGTATCAAGCCTTCTGGTGGGCGACCAAAGATAAGCTCGAAAGCAAGTCTCTACATACAAACACGGCTGTGCAGCTGGTGATGGATGGGTGGTCAGCTCTACCAGAGCCACACCAATGGGAGCAGATGTCGTTCATTTCCGGAGATGGTAAACGCTATGCCATCAAAGGAGTTGGCATGGCCGAAAAATCGGCTCAATTATAGAGGAAGGAATGGAATTTATACTCACGAGGCATTCTGACATTTAAGACATCGGTTGCTTGTTAGATAGTGACAATTTCGAAACCGTGCATAGACCGTAGAACGTTTTCACGGATGTTACCATAGGCTGATCTGAAGAAAATTATCGTTTCGTGCTACACTTTTATGGGGGTATTCTCAAATATAGCAGAATTTGATTGAGAACAATTGGGAAGTTTGTTTAGTTGTCTTTCTATCGGTTTATCAAGTGAAGTGCATGCGTTGAAGCTTTCAGCCAGGCAGCGGCCAGCAGCGAGAATGTCAGGTTTCTGGCTAAAGCCAGAAGGTCGCATCAGGTCAGGAAAGTTACACGTGTCTCGCTCGGATGTGCTCAATGATATATCCCCCGGGACTACTTAAGGAGCGATTTGTTGTGCTGTGCTCGCAAACTGTAGTTCAACCCAGTCAAAAGCCCACCCTGTCTCAGAACAACAGTGAACCCTGCAAAAGATTCCACACAATTCCACATTTATACAGACATGCCGATGAAGACCAACTCCGTCGAAAATCCTACAGGGTGCGGATGTGTGGATAATTACTGCCGCAATATTGAGGGCCTTCGTGAGAGAGAATTCCCCGACATGCAAAGTGCGTATCATCATTCCCCTAAAATTCTGTCCTAACTGACAATGGGTCTGCTACGGTACAGGAAGCGTTTATCTTGATCATGCTGGAACAACACCCCATGCCGCTTCTATGGTTACAAACACTCACGACAGCATGCCTAAATTATATGGCCACCCGCATTTCACGTCTCCTTCTGCCAAGCGGTCCAAGATTCTAATAGACGATATTCGACTCCGTGCGCTCGCGTTTTTCAATGCTGATCCCGATAATTATGACCTTGTATTTGTCGCAAACGCCACCAGCGCCGTCAAGCTAGTCGCCGAATTCTTTCGAGACGTTTGGTCCTATGGATTTCAGTATGGATATCACATTGACTCCCATACCAGGCTTGTAGGCCTACGAAAACTTGCCACGGCGGGTTATTGCTGCCTTGTTGATGGAGATGTGGCAAATTGGATCGTGGAAAGTTGTACCGCATCGTCTAGCAGGCCCAGGCTTTTTGCATTTCCAGCACAGTCTGATCTGACTGGCCGTCGTCTTCCGCTTCATTGGTGTGATGCAATCCGTAACACAGGTGGCAAAGGAGCAAGGAACGTATTCAGCCTACTGGATGCTGAATGCTTTGTATCCACAGCTCCTCTTGATGTGAGCAAAACAGCCCCCGATTTTGTGGCTCTCAGTCTCGCCAAAATATTTGGATTTCCTGATTTGGGTGCATTGCTTGTTCGAAAAGATACTGTGTATGCCCTGGATGGACGTAAGGCGTTCGGCTATGGTTCGATCAACATGGTGAAAGCTTCTGGCGACAAATGGTACGCGAAAAGAACAGCCTCAATTCGAGAGCGTTTTGAAGACGGGACGCTTTCTCATTCTAAAATCATCGCTCTGGGCACCGCTTTTGGCACTCATGAGCGTTTATACGGTTCGATGGCCAATATCTCAGCCCATACCTCGTGGCTAGCTGGGGAAGCCTACGATCGGCTCTCTGTATTGCGACACTTCAACGGAACCAAGCTATGTCAAATATACCGGTCTGAATATGGAAATCCAAGATTACAAGGCCCAGTCATTGCTTTGAAGTTGAGTAACAGCCGAGGGATCGGGATTCCCAGCGCGGATGTCAAAGAACTGGCAGCGACAAGGGATATTCAGCTGTATGTGGACTCAGCCTGCAACCTGAATGGAACAGCGTCGTCTTTAATGTGCACCCGTACTGGCCGTCAGCGATTTTATGCAGCAACCCCTGGTTGTTGCGGTGATGACCATGATGTGCTAGTAGGTCGACCGACCGGCGCCCTCCGTATCAGCTTGGGTGCAATGACCAGTCTCAACGACATTACTGTCCTGGTTTCCTTCCTTCACGATACCTACGTGGAGGAAGGACCAGACACTACTCACTTGCTTCCTCCTCAACCAAGCGTTAAACCATTCGCTGCTCAACTTTTCGTTGAAGCCCTGACAGTTTTCCCCATTTTGGGCTGT